TTTGATGGAAATGAAAATGATAAACCTACAGAGGGCTGAATTCAAAGACACCCCAAAAATCAAAATGAAAAAATGATCCGGTAGGCTGGTCCATTTTGCCAAAATTTCATTGCAGCAACTCAAAATCGTACTCAGTAGTTTGTTTGGCCCCCACGTGCTTGTATGCATGCCTGACAACGTCGGGGCTGCTCCTGATGAGACGACGGATGGTGCCCTGGGGGATCTCCTCCCAGAACTGGACCAGGGCATCACTGAGCTCCTGGACAGTCTGAGGTGCAACCTGGTGGCGTCGGATGGACTGAAACATGATGTCCCAGAGGTGTTCCATTGGATTTAGGTCAGGCGAGCATGGGGGCCAGTCAACGGTATCCATTCCTTCATCCTCCAGGAACTGCCTGCATACTCACGCCACATGAGGCCGGGCATTGTCATGCACCAGGAGGAACCCAGGACCCACTGCACCAGCGTAGGGTCTGACAATGGGTCCAAGGATTTCATCCTGATACCTAATGGCAGTCAAGGTGTCGTTGTCTAGCCTGTAGAGCTCTGTGTCCCTCCATGGATATGCCACCCCAGACCATCACTGACCCACCACCAAAACAATCTTGATGAACAATGTCACAGGCAGCATAATGTTCTCCGCAGCTTCTCCAGACCCTTTCACTTCTGTCATATGTGCTCAGGGTGAACCTGCTCTCATCTGTGAAAAGCACAGGGTGCCAGTGACGGACCTGCCAATTCTGGTATTCTGTGGCAAATTCCCATCGAACTCCACGGTCCTGGGCAGTGACCACAGGGCCCGCTAGACGACGTCGGGCCCTCAGGCCACCCTCATGAAGTCTGTTTCTGATTGTTTGCTCAGACACATGCACACCAGTGGCCTGCTGGAGGTCATTCTGTAGGGCTCTGGCAGAGCCCCTCCTGTTCCTCCTTGCACAAAGAAGCAGATACTGGTCCTACTTATGAGTTAAGGACCTTCTACGGCCCTGTCCATCTCTCCTAGAGTAACTGCCTATCTCCTGGAATGTTCTCCATGGCCCTGAGACTGGGCTGGGAGACACAGTAAACCTTCTGATATTGATGCACCATCCTGGAGGAGTTGGACTACCTGTGCAACCTCTGTAGGGTCCAGGTATCACCTCATGCTACCAGTAGTGACACTGACTGTAGCCAAATGCAAGATTAGTGAAAAAAACTGTCAGAAAAGATGAGAAGGGGAAAAATGTCAGTGGCCTCCACCTGTTAAACCATTCCTGTTTTGGGGATTGTCTCATTGTTGCCCCTCTAGTGCACCGGTTGTTAATTTCTTTAACACCAAAGCAGCTGAAACTGATTAACAACCCCCTCTGTTACTTAACGGACTAAATCAATATCCCAGAAGTTAAATTGACTCGATGCTATGCTCTGATTAAAAAGTGTTCCTTTAATTTTTTTGAGCAGTGTATTTTTTGTCGCAGCCCTCCTGAAAAAAATATTTTTCTACATCTATTTCATGGTTTGTCCAGCGTTGTTATACATATTTTATATATATCTTATTATTAAGGACCCTCACCCCACTCAACAAATTTTCGCTCAAATCCTAGAATTGCACTTGGACATACCTGAATGGTTTATACTGACTTATCATCAGTTACTGTATATGTCAAATGAGTTGAAATATGTTTTGCACTGGGAGCCAAATATGGCTGTCAACATTAATGAAAGCACCAATCTATTAATAAGCTTTGCATGTCCCAGGCTCAAGCATTCTTCAGCAAAAACTTGGAGTGAAAATGCATATATGAAGTTCTCTTCTCAGGTGTTCTGGTAAGCTGACAATAGCTCCTAGGCTATGCTGCATCTCTGCGGTATGTAAGTTGATTGATACTACGTTTGATGGGTGTGGACTGAGTTATGACCAGATGTTGAAAGACAGTGATTCCAGGGAAGGGCCTTGTAACAATATTCTTCAACTATCTTAGTCAAGCTGCAGCCATTATACTTATTGATCCCTGTGGGGAAATTCTCTTTATTTGTTCCCCAGCTTGCTCTCTGTAGGTGAGAACAAGCTGGCTGCAAAGGGCAGCCACCTGTTGCAGTGCCTAGGAAGCTTGAGGAGGTTAAGGGCCTTGCTCAAGGACCTGCAGGCATGCTGAGGCTGGGCTTAAATGCGCAACCTTCTGAGTACAGGCACAGAAGCTTAGTCCACTGAGCCACATGCTGCCCCTGATAACTGTATTTAATCATTAGGTGAAAGAAAATATCATTTGGTGAAAATGCCATGTGAACTGGTATTGGGTAACAAACATTGAACAAACTAAACACAAGCTGTGAAAGGTGGTAACATCGTTAGTTTTTGATGCCAGTATTGGTAACTGAAGTGCATGTGAAAGGCAGCACTTGAATTTTTTTTTTTTGTGTTAAATCATAGGTTAGGCAATATTGGGGCTTGCCAGGGATGCACCAGATACCATGTGTATGCAAGTAGCTGCCAATCTGGACAGGAGCAGCTGTCAGGAGCTATAGGAGAAGAGGAGGCTCCTTTCAGGCTGGAAAGATGTGCAAAGTGGTGGAAGGAATGTGTGATGATAGAAATGCATTTGCAGTTTTGTTCATTGAAAACACTGAAACAACCGGTTAATGAGGAAGCCTTTTTTTTTAACAACAGAGAACGTACCTGTATTTTTTCATCTGAATAACAGCCTTTCATTCCTGTCAAGGGTGTCCGGAAAGCAGCATTACTGTGGTAAAGTTTTTCTGGACGCAGATGATTCACTGAACTAAAATGCTCACCTGACTGGACAAGGGGAGCGGCTCATCTCAGAGCAAGTCCGCATGTAATCCTCAGTAAACAACAGCATAGGTAAACTGCATGATATAAAGATGGATTTTAATTACTTGATTTGGTTCAGATCAGAATAAAGGCTCAAATGTCTAGAGGTAAAAAGGCTAAATCTAAGGCAGTACATGTAAGTTTGTGGATCTTTTCAGAGAAATATCACATCGCAGGTTGGCTCTATGGCAACATTTGGCTCTTGGTAAGGTTGAGTCACTGTGGGGTAATATCACTCGCCTTAATTCCACAGACACCTGTGCAGAAACTTAAAGGACCCGCAATCTCCATACATTTCTTCTTCTTGTCAGCACATCTTGCAAGAGCTGCAGGACCAGTAAATGAATGGCTTGCAACAAAGATTCAATTTCATGTTACACAGGTGAGAAATAAAGTGATTTTTTTTCCCTTTTGAAACTTTTTTTTTTTTTTTTATCTGCAGGGACACTGGTTTTGTTGTAGGTGTGCGTATTTACTAGGTGTGCTCTTTGTAGTGGTGGAGGGTTAGGCTTGTAGCACCATTCTGGACGAAAGGGTGTTCCAGTACATCCCGCAGATTGCCACACGACGTCATTCCAGCTCAAAACCGGTTCAAGTCCCTTTGAGAAGCATCAATCAAACTTTCTGTAGCAACATTATTAAATTGGCAACATTTCGATTCTTCTGGAGGCGTTATCAGCCTGCAACGACAGTGGTAAAGAAATGCAAGAGATTGCATTTGAGCAAGAAAGAAACACCTGTGTTTTTTCCCCAGTTGAAGTACCAGCATATTCCAGCATTCCAGAGATGTACATCCTAAAATCTTGCACAGACTATTGCGGCTTCATATGGTTCACGCCAAGGAACACTAACTATCCTTGATAGACGCCATTAACAGTACATCGTCAGTGTTTTCTCTAAAATGGCAAGCAGACAAATCACTGCCTCCTTCCAGATATTTCAAGATCAGTACCATGATTTTATTTAATTAAAAACAATTTATCGGGCCCATAAAGCCTGCAGTCTTAACCTCACTATTACTATGGATATAGTATCGTGGTTCACGTACCACCAGTGGTTTTCAGAGCATCCCTAGGTGGTATGTGAAAAGACCATGGTAATTTCTTACTGTGATTTTTTGTGGTTGTATTTAGTGTCATTTGGTCTAAAATGTTTCAGAACCAGATATAGTACATTAAACTGCATCATTACACTATCTTGACTTGAGCTCAAGGTAAAACCAAGTGCATCAGAGAATACTGTGTGAGTGACCAAAGTGATCTGGTCAACGCGCTCACCTGCTGCACTTGCAGTACCGTTTCCTCAAGGGAATCTTTTACTATTGGAATGAACCCCCACTTGCCATCGTTGACTGTCATTTATCATGAAGACATCATAGAGGCTCAGTGTCAGCAGGACGAATGCCAGAGATTGAGAAGTAAGAGAAATTTAGGAGCAGAGAACTATGGGAAATTTCTTTGAACATGATTAGTACTTGGGCCTCAGACAAAACACAAACACTTTAACAGAATTTATTCAAAATAAAAGCCCAACAAAAACATACATGGTATGTGTATGACATTGGATCTCCCACTGAACGACTGGCAAAGCAACATCAGTTTCTGCTAAAATCTTCTTCTGAATTGACGTTCCTTCGTTGAGTACTAAATGGATTCTGGAGGGAGCACTGCCATGCTGTTCCTCACTGGAGACAGGGCTCCCCGTGTATTGCACTTGGAAATATCTCTGCAGTGCACAAAGACAGATGCAGTGCTGAATGAGAAACATGCATACTGACTAATTTCAGTACCTCCGCATTCTTAGATAAGCAATTTCCAGTGACAATCTGCAAAGCTCCACCAAAAACTGAGTCCCTCCCTTATGTTTAAGCATTCATGTCATACTCTCATCATGTCAAAGGAAAACAGGTGGCTTTTAACTCACTTTAAGAACACTACTAGTCTAGGCCAGTACTAACTAGGAGTGTAACAAAATATAATACACTTAAGTATCATGATGTTTTGTGATACTGTATCAATTCTGTATTGAAGAGAACTATATTAATTTTTAATAGTTTCCATGCAAAGTTCATGGCAGACTGGCTCATTTTGTGTTTTGTTATATCTCCTTACTGCTAGATAGCAGTGTCGTAATACATCTTCAGCCATTTGACTCTTTCACCCAAACATAACAATGTAAACAGTCACGAAGTAAGGTAAAGGTGCAACACTCATGACAACAATAACAAACCTAGCTGACTAGCAACGTTACCACCAATGGCTGAAACTGAAAGAGTTAGACCGGCTCCCAAGGTATACAGAGCTGAAGTATAGGTTCATTTTGGTTTCCACAATAAAGAAGGCACTATGGAGATTGACAAGAGCCATACTGTCTTTGTTTACCTAAAGAATCCTTCAAGAATTTATTTACTTATTTACTTGATTGTTTTATTTAATTTTACTGATATAGGCAAATCTTAATTACTTTGCTCAGACTGCACAAAAATAGTACTATGATGTTGAATGTTACAGGCAGGGGCGCTGCTAAGGATTTTGGGCCCCATGAAAAGAATCTTGACAGGGCCCCCAACACAGCTGAGACTTTTTTCATATTAATTTACATAAAATCATGCGCTTTTATGGTATTTTGACTATCATTCTCATATATTTAAGTCAATCAGACAATTGAACTCCATTCCATGTCCACACCCGTAATTTGTCTTCTTCTTCATGTGGGAGCGCAGGGGCTGATTCAGGGGATGCTGAAGTTAGGGGTTGGGAGACAGCCGGACCAGTTGCTGCTGCTGGTTCATTTGACTCTGTTTGGAACGAGGCATGATTATCACAAAGTGCGTTTGACTGCATTGAACGTTTAACTAAAACTGTGTATTGTTATTTTTTCCAGCGTTTTCTTGATCTAACATGGGGAGAAAATTGAGTTCCCTTATCATGCACTTTTAACACTAGAACGGCCACCAGCAGTCATTTTAACCGCAACATTTAAACTTAGGGTAATTATCTTTAACACTAGAACGAACAAGGCGTCATTTTGACCGTTTTGAAATTTGCATATTCAATAACTTTGTCTAAATAAATCACAAAGCCTTGCTGCTCCCTGACTTTTCCTAAAACTACATGAATTTTCATTAAAACTAGTTTAAATATTTGTGTAAATAAATATTTAAACCGTAGGCTACGATCATTGTCACACAGGCGGTCCACTAACAATTTAGTCCTACTTACAAACCCACCTTTTCTTCTGAAATATTGGGTAACATACTGTCGACCCTTTGCGTCTTTCACTTGTCTTATTTTTTCTCTTTCCGTTTTTGGCTTCCAGATTTTTGAGGCATTTTCACTTCTGCCGGCGCTATAAGTGAAGTCAAGCTGTTGCCTGGATACAATTTGGGCGGACTGAACCATTTTATGATAATCGAGAGGGGGAGAGGGGCTCACGGACGTTTGTGTGTCCTAAACAAACACATTTTTTGACACCAGGAAACAGCAAATAGTAAAAATTATTAACTTAAAATTATTCTATCAGCACCACAATTTTATTGGGGGCTTCTCTGGGCCCCCTCTCAGTCATGGGCCCCGAGAATCGTCATCGTTTACCCCCCCTTTACAGCGCCCCCTGGTTACAGGGTCTGTAATAAAAATGTAAATCCCACTGTTCTGATTGCAAAAAAATAAACTTATTTACTCTGATTTTATGCATATCATGATGTCTACTATCCATCCATTATCATGACCACTTAATCCCCACTGGGGTTGCTGGGGGCCTGGAGCCTATCCTGGGAACAATGGGCACAGGCAGGAACCAACCCTGGACGGGCACCAACACACCACAGGGCACTCTCACACATCTACAGGGCCAATTTAGACATGTCAATCAGCCTTCCTTGCACACTTTTGGACTGTGGGAGGAAACTGGAGTCCCCGGCGTAAACCCACGTGAACACGGGGAGAGCGTGCAAACTCCTCTTTATACTATGATAGTTGAAAATTTGATTAAATAAAAAAATGTCTTGCTTACAGCATTGCAATGTATTAAATGGTAACCCCTGTATCATGATACACATCGTGTTGCCAGATTCTTGCTGATACACAGGCCTAGTGCTAATGTTCCCATGCATTTATGACTCTCTAGCTGCTGGGTTCGTACCACCTTAGGGTTTGTGCCAATGTGTGACACCAGTGGGGCACTTACTTTCTGTAGCTGAAGTTCTTCCACAAGCTGCTAATGGTAGGCTGAAGTTCCATCACATTCTTGTTGCCGCTACTTTTGGCATCTGGCCTCTTGCGTAGGCCGCTGACCCGGGCAGGTGCCAAGGGGCATATCTTCACTGCAAATCCCATGTTGGTGTTCCTGACCCGTGACAGCCCTGACACCTAGACACACACAGAAGGCGACAATGAGCCTAATAGAGATGCAGCATCTCCTCTCAATCATGTAAAAACATTTCTCCAAAGGTGCACACGTTCCTTCTAACATAAGACCTAGAAGTGTTGTCCTGAAGAATAACAGACCTTTGCTCCATTGGCTAAGGGTCTTTTCTCATCGGTGTCACTGGAGTCTTCACTTGCGTTGAGGTCCTATGAAAAAGGCAAAAAACCAAGTTACAGAAACTGCTAAGCTCCATCAGAAGCTGAGCCTCTCCCTAATGAAAATCTGAGCAACAGTCGCACTAGTGTATTTGGGGGGTGGGGGGGTAGGCCCACTATGGAGCATGCAGTTCCTCTACGGATTGTGCTCATGCCATACCTGCATGGGGCTCTGCTTCCTTTCAACGCCGAGCCAGCTTGACTGGGAGAAATAAGTGCTGCTGAAGGCGAGTTGAGAGTCTGCGGCCTTCTCACCATCCTGCTTTAATTGCTGAGGAAGCAAAGTGGGGGTTCTCTGTGTCTGGGAAGCCCAAGATAAATTCTCTTTACTGTGCTGGAACTTCTGAAGTGGTGAAAATCGGCACTTGTGAGACACTTCCTGGGGTTTATGCGGGGAGAGCCGGATCTGGTTGAATACAACTGCCCCAGAATGACCCCTCTTGGGAGGTGTGGAGCTAAGCAGGTCCGATGAGTCCTCTTCAGCTCCTGTAACCTGAGACTCCTCACAGGTTACCCTCTGGCCTTCATTCTGGCCATCGTGGGTGCACTGAGAAGCTACCAGGGCCCCGTCAACAGGATGTGGGATGTCTGTGAAAGTGCTAGAGCCGAAGAACCTGTAGGTCAGAATGCGAGTACAAAATGTCTACTATGAATGTGCCTCACTTTTCCTAGAGCGGGAACTAAAAGCAATGCAATGAAATTCTGTACAAACTAATAACAATAGATACTGAGATCTAATAACATCTCATCAAGTGGTAGCTACATCTGCTGTACTCCCCCTTAAAAAGACCAGACCGTCTTTGAAATAACAGATGTTAAATGCTCCATGAGATGAAGTGGGCAGCTGATAAGGAGGACAGAGTAAAAGGTTAGTGCAGCACCGGCCCAGGAAAAGTAGCATTACCTGCTACAGGTTCCCTCATCCCCAAAATCGTCCTCCTGATTTCTCCTCTGCAGCAGTGTGGAAAAGCGATTACGGTGGAGACTTGGCTGGGGGGTGCCAACAGTGGGCTGGGCCTGGGCTTTAGCCCGTCTCAGAACCTTCGGACTGGGGCAGGAATATTGTAGCAGCAAGTCCTCCTCAGAAATGGCAGACTCTGCCCCAGTATCAGAAAAGGCATTATGAAAAGCATGCAAAAGAACCCCAACCTCAACCCACAAAAACAGGAGCTATTATAGTTGACCTTGGAGCCCCCCAAGGTTTTTTTTTTTTCTCCCTACTTGTCAGTTTTTGGTTCCTCTCCCCCCATTGTCATCTGGGTTTCTTTCTTTCATTATCTTTATCTTTCCCTGTTTTTGAATTATTCTGTATAAATGATGCAGTATTGCATTACAATACATCCATGTAAAGCAACTTGGGGCAACTCAGTTGTGAAAGACACTATATAAAAATAAACTGAATTATTGTTGTTTATTTATGTTTGATTTATGTGCCATTGCCATGTCTCCTCACACTGACTTTATTTATTTATATTATACACACATAAACACATACATACACACATAAACACATACACACATATACTAGGGCTGTCAAAATTAATGGGTTAACACGGATTAATCCATCATCATGATTAATCTGATTAAAATTAACGCAATTAACCCATCTGCAGCACAGAATGATTAAAAATCCCTGAAATGTCTCCGTCAACCCATTTCGGGCAGTTTTAGTGCGTTCCATTTGCCCTCAGAATACGTATTCCGAGTCGGATTCCGGAGTTTTGAAGCCGGAAGTGACGACATGCGCTCTCGTTTCTCGGAGATCCGAGAAATATCTCGGAGCAGCACAGAGGATCCCGAGTTCAGAATCCAAGATGGCTGCGCCCTTTATCAACAGAAGGGAAAGTTGTAGTTTTATACTGTTTATGCACTACTTCTCATTTGTGGCTCATTAAATCGGTCGCACATGCTATACCGTCCAACTTACTGTGGATGTGTTGCTATGGAGTTTTATATGTAAAGCACCGCACGTGATGTGTTAACTGATATTGCTAATAATGGCAATTAACCAGGCTAGAATTGGACTTCATGATTAGTTGGATTATTTGTCAGATTTACGGTAGTTCGTGCTAATTGTAAGCGAACGAAGATAAAGACCATTTAAAAACTGAGGTACCTTGGTAAATGAGGTCCATGGTATTGCACTTCTGTTGCAGATGGAATGCATCCGACTCATGTTCAAGACGTTCAATAAACATGTTAAGTGCATATATATTCCCTTTATTCTTGAGTCTGTTTGCTCATGCAAAAGTAAATGTGATTAATATAGTTTAAAAATGAATATTTAATCGTGATTAATCGAAATTAATCCACAGCAACCCTGTGATTAATCTGATTAAAAAATGTTATCGTTTGACAGCACTAATATATATATGTACACACATATACACACACACAGTGGTTCCTCGGTTATCGAACTCACTAGAACTCGAATTTCTTGAAAGTCGAACAAACCAGTTTGACCTACAACTCGATCTGAATATCAGAAGTCGAACCATGAACGATAATCTAATATAAATTGTATGCGCCAGGATATGAGTCTCTTAGCGGAAACAAAAGGTAAGGCTTCAGTGTCAGCCTCGCATTTGGTGTAGTAGCAGCGCTTGTTAGTGATAATGCTATTTTATCGAATATACTGTATCAGGTAATACACTGTACTTTATATAATTTTGTTAGCCATTGCTCAACAAAAAGTTACGTAATAGTTGTACAAATGTTACAACCTAAAAGTTTGCTATTCACGAACAAATTAACGAATACAGAGTAATAATAAAAATAAACAATGGACCGGATTCAAAGTTTTTATTGTCATGTACAGACTACAATGCAATTCTTACTTGAATGCCTACTTCACAGACTGAACGATTAACCAAATAAAGCAGCGCAACATTACAGTAATTTACAATAAATAAACCACTAACTTACGTGTACTATTAGAGCATTTATGTCATTTATTCAAACCTTATTTTACCAGGTAAATTAACTGAAAACCAGTTCTCACTACTTTATGTGATATTCGGGAGAATATCGGAACTGCCTGGGATACAAACGTCATGCGTGTAACTAAACTCTTCAGACAATAAGGGCAAAGGTGTGTTGTTACGGAGGCGGTTCCAGTTTGTGCAGCCGGGTGAGAGGTCGCAATGCATCTAACCGTAATGCATTGTGTCAGGATCAGAATGCGTTGCTTTAAGCTAGCGCTGAAAGCAAGTCGAACACACCCAATGACCGGACTGGGGAAATAAACTGAAACGCGGACTTAATACAGAGGACTAATGACAACAACCAGAAACAGCTGATCACATGAGGATCCCACACGAGGTTAACGAGGGAGCGTGGGACATGGAAGGAGCGGACGATTGGGGCAGCACAGGGGTAATGTTGGGATAAGATCTTTATCGTTTTGAAAACCATTAAGAAAAAAAATGCTCTTCTTGTTTTATCCTGTTCATTTTGTGTTTAAATGCTAAAAAAAAAAAAAAAAAAAAACATATTTAGGTGTAATTTTGAGGGGCCGGGAACCAATTAATTGGTTTTCCATTATTTCTTATGGGAAAAATTCGATCAGAACTCAAACTTTTTAGGATTCGACACGGAGTCCGGAACGGATTAAGTTCGAGAACCGAGGTACCACTGTGTGTGTGTATATATATATCCACACACACATACATACATACGTCCCTTCATATTGTGTTCTAATGTTGTGTGTATTGTCTGATCCTGTTTATAACTTGCTGCTGTAACTAAAAATTTCTCTTCATTGGGTTATTGAAATTTAATCTTAACTAAGACCAAAAGCGCTACACTACATTAATCCATTCACACCTCACACAACTGGACATGTAAAAAAACGAAATCTTGACTGCTTCAGGAGTGTGGAAGATCCAATAGACATTAACTTAAGAGAAGAACTGAAGGCCAGAGCATTTCAAGGAGTCTAACAGCAACTTGGCATTTAAACGCTGATGCTAGACATGAAGTGTCATTAAACTGCATTTACGCAACACACAAGCAGCATTGCACATTGGATTCCTTTTGCTCCTACCTGCTCTGGGTCTCTTGGCCTGCAGCTCCTTGGCTGGAGGCCTCCCCTTAGTGGACGACTTCTCTGACGGGTTGAGGACAAGGGTCTGGGAGGACAGGGGACTCTTGGGGGTGTAGCCTTTGCTCCAGATGCTGGGGCTCCTCACCTTGCTGGCATCCCAGCCGTGGCTGCGGGGCTTGACCGTCTACGGGACAGGGAACAGGATGTGGTCAGGTGGGCCCTGACTGTCCATAAACATCAGAACTCTTGCAGAGCTCCTGAAGGAAGATGAATGCTGAATGAGAAGTGGCCAGATGTTCAATACAGCAGCCTACGACAATCATTACAAAGTTATGTCACTGGCATTTAGAATACACCCTTAAGAATCTCCAAAAGTAGATAAGTTTATCTGGCGCCACTGTAAAAAAAAAAATTAAAAATAGGACTCAGGGTTGTAACAATTCTGTATGAATAGTGCCATGTCTTTCTTTTTTGGGCCACCAAGCCACATGAGTGAAGATGGGTCATACCTGCATTGCGTTGGGGTTGAAGTCATCAATAACCTCCATGGTGAAAAGATCCAGGTTTCCCAGAGCCAGCTGCAGGCCCTTCTCATCTCCTATGTTGCTGAAGTTATGAATTAAGGAGGCTTTGCTTCCTTACAACCAAAGAAAAGCACACACAGTGACCAACACTGACTCCTGGCTTGAAGGAGCTGTGACATCAGCGAGGAAAAAGGATACCGCCCAGCGTAGCTCAGGGAAGCAGGGTCGATGTTGTCCGGGTATGGATTGAGAGGCACCACCTTCCGGCTGCGGGGGTCAAAGACTAGCTGGTAGAGGAAGGTGTTGTTGGCCTTGACAAAACCCTCAACATACTCATCTGGCACCCTGATGTCCATCTTCAGGTACTGGCCCATCTTCCTGATCACCTAGGTGAGAGAGGCATGCACAGCATCAGAAGGTGGAAAAACTGTGCTCTCCCAGTGTCATATGAACATCTTTCTTTCTAACCCAAAAGGAAATCAGTGATGCAGATGAGCTGCTTGTATCCTTGTAATGGATTCAAGCAGAGGGCCACAAGTCACCTTCAGGATGTCAGGGTTTCTGGCCATCTTGATCAGCTTGCAGGCCTTGCTCAGACCAATCCCATAGATTGAGGGCAGATAGTCACAGCCTGAGAGGATACACATGTAGCGGAACTTCTCCTCCGTAAACATGTCCCCTAGAGACGGGCACCGACCCAGATTCTTCTGGTCGATCTCCAGCCCATTTCCGTTCTTGTCCATCTTCACAATCACCTGCGTGACAGTTAAACACAGCACAAAGTCAAGTAACACACACAAACGGCAACAACTATAAACAGCAGATGTTCATCATGCCTTCGCACATTTTTACAACCAAAAGCCAGCAAGTCCGAGTCCTCTGTGATGACAGCTTGGGCAATTCCAGCCTTGTTCAGGAAGGCCAGCTGGGCATCTGCCTCATAGGGCGCCACCACACAGTCCACATCCCGGGCCCTGGCGGCCTGAAGGCAGCAAAGTGAAGACCAAAGATTTCATTTTAGTTCTAGGACACTCATTTATCTCTTGGCTTTAGGGTTGCAAGACAATCTCATTCTTATTTGACACAGATTCTGCCAGGTTTCCACTAGATGGGAAACCCACTACAAACATTCTGTTTTTCCTCAATAAACTGTATCAACAAATGACATGAGTGCATTATACCATTTGACAAGAAGAGGGGGCAGAAAAATAGAAGTTTTGGTAAACAGCAAAGTAAGTTTGTTTCGCAATTCTCATTGGAAAATCCATCTTCTGAAACCGCTTGTCCTATTCAGGGTCATGGGGTGTTGGGAGTCTATGTGTACAAGGCAGGGGACAACCCTGGATTGAGTGCCAACCTAGTGATATTTCTGAGCTCTTAGATGCAAATTCCATGGTTTGTGTGCCATCTTGTGGTCAGATGTGGTATGGCACAAAGAGCTTTACACTGCATGTTTTTTTTTTTTTTTTTTTTTAATTTCGCAGATGCTTTGATCCAGTGACATACATTTTTGAGAAAGCAGGGCCAATTGGGGGTAATGCGTTTTGCTCAGGGGCACAGCAGTAACATCACTCTGCTGAGCCTAGGATTTGAACTGGCAACCTGATCACAGGCACAAGCATCCTAACCCACCGAAGCACATATTTTGAATTTAAGTCAATATTCTAAATTGCAGTGTTTCAGTCAGCATTCCCATGCTTAGTGGTGTTTTAGGAAATTCTGGCCCCACAGTTGTGCCTGGGGTGCAGCCTTCTTGCCTTGATGACATCACGGGCCATGTCGTGGGTGATGGCGATGCAGCGGGTGAAACATTCTGCTGCTTCTGTCAAACGTCCCTCACGCAGCAACTGCTTTCCTTTCTGCAGGTTGGCCTGTCGATGCCTAAAGCAAGGTTAAAAAATAAATAAATAAAAGTGTGGCAGTCACATGGCCGGCCTTCCATCGGCTTATCCATCAGCTCTCATAGTGGATGACACGTGTACTGTACTTACTCCCGGCGCGACTTTTCCACTTCCTCCTTTGAAGGCAGATTGCAGCCATCGAACACCAAAATAGGCTTCACTCCGAAGGTCAGCAACATATCAACGTATTTCATACAATAGGTCACATATCTTTAGTGATTGAGGAAAGAAGCAAATTTGCACAAACAGTTCACTGTAATGTACACATTTTAGCATATATCAAGTTTTCAATAAAGAACACAGGGACTTCATGCCTTTTAACATACCGGTCAGTAGGTTCCCCCTTGGCCAGCTTATCAGCGCAGGAGAAAGCCCCCTTGTGGAGCCAACAGTATGTGTCCACTGCCACAGTCTGGCCTTTGTACTTTCTCACGCTGATGGCCTCTGAGGCATCCTTGATGAACGGTAGTAGCCCCGAAATCCCCATCATAAAGTAACTATTACCGCCAAGGCCTAAAAGTGCAGGTTTACAGAAAAATACACATTAATTGACTAAACACATAGCAAGAGGTAATCTGTTAAAAAAATACCTGTAACGAAGAGTAATGAAAACACCAAGGACGTAACCCACCTCCGGAGAACACCACATTGGGTGCTTGGATACACTTAAAACTGGGAACGACAAGCTGTATAAAAGTCGGTGGAGACAATGCATTTGGAATATAAAAGAGACAGTTAAACGGGAAATTGCGTTTATTTTATATAACAATACGCACAGCATAGGGATATACGTAAACACACAGAATATTAGCATCCAACGGCATCTTCTAGCCGAGCACCGAAAGTGCACCGCGTAGCTCAGAACTGCGATTCCTTCTTTTAAATCCGCCGTTGGACGCAGCGGCCGTTACATGTTTAGGAACACTAAGGCGAAATTTTACAAGTAGGAGAAAACACCCACAGCACTCAAGTCACAATCGCCGCACAGATAGGTTGTAACACAACATGCAATATGTACGTAGAACAGTTATGTCAATGCATTATATACAGCGTAAAATATTTTCATTAAACGGAACTAATTATATCCCACGAAACCGACGAATAAATATAGATTATTGTACTCACTTTACTCTTGATCCCAGTCGAGACCTCTTTCCCGCGTTCAACTTCAGCGGCAAAACTCACGGTCGCGTCAGACCGACTGCGATTGGTCAGTTGGTTGTGCTCAACCAGGCAACAGCTTCCGGTTATTCAATTCCTGTTGTGCGTACGCATACACTGCCATGCTGTGAAATTAAACCTGTACGTTAGTGTAAGCATCAGCACATCGACCGCAAATCAGAGTTATTCAGGTAAACAAATGTAATACATGACGACACTAGACTCCCAAATAACATTGTTTGAAGTATCCGCAAACTTAAGCTCTCAGTTTAAAACTGCACTTAAGTGGCATACATCATTTTACTGTATTAGACAAATGAATCAGAAGGTGCATGGATGGATGGGTGGATGGATATATGCTTTTACTGTTATTGCATTAAATTATTTTTATAAGTATAGAATTTAGAAAGTGGAAGTTGCATTTCAAAAAACATAATGACGACACTTAGAAGCAAAACAGGGTTAGGTCTGGTTAGTATGTGGATGAAGCTTGTGGTCCTGAAAATTGCTAATTGGTATATGGCTGACCTTCTGCTTTTTACCCCAAGCTTTGCTGTCACCTCTATAGTCCCACTCATATGAGAGTGAGATGGGATATGTGAAAAGTGAAGAATTAGAGAAAGAGGACTTTACTAATCCTTTACAGCAGGGGTCTCAAACTCCAGTCCTGGAGGGCCATAGCCCTACACAGTTTTTGGTTCACCCTCATTTAACACACCTGATTCAACTCTTTGTGCTAATTACCACACAGCTCTTGAGCTGGATCATTTGTGGTGGAAGGGGGAAAGAATTAAGCTACACAGGGCTCCGGCCCTCCAGGACCGGAGTTTGAGACCCCTGCTTTAGAGGGAAATTCCCATGTTACAGCAGCATCAACAGCAACATGTAACACCATACAACAGGCATGTTTTTTAAAAGGAAATTTAAAATAAAATGAGATTGTTTTATTTACTCTAAGATATTCAAGAATATCCTAATAATGTGTAAATAGTCACTAGTATTATGCAAGTAATGTGCAGGACAGAGAAGTAGCTTGTAGAGACCGAAGCTCCACTTGTCAGGCAATGACGTGAATTGTTGTACAGTGCAACAGTGGTTGGTAGGAATGATTTCATGAAGTGTTGGATAAGCCTGTCACTGAAGGTGCTCAGCTGTGTATACAGCATGTTGTGCAGGGGATGTTTGTCATTGTCTATAATGGAGAGCAGTTTATTGATTATTCTCCTTTCCACCACTATCTCGAATGTCTCCAAAGTGGAACCTATAGAATGGAGCTGGCCTTTTTGATTAGCTTAGTCAATTTCTTTCAGTCTTTTGCTGTGATGCTGTTCCCCCAGTATACCACTGTAAAGAAAAATGTATTTGCTACATCAGATTTCCAAAATCTTGTCATGATCAAAAGTCTTGTGCAGTCATCGATCCTTCCCTTTGCTTCCATTAAATTGTGTTGGTTCAGTTTTGGTGTGATTTGTCTCAAAAGTTGATCAGGTCCAGATCTCCATACCATCCTTACAATGTGTCTGAAAACATAAAAAAAAGATCTGCTAGATACTTTTTGAGTAAGTACCGCTGTTCTTCTCTTTATATCACTGGGCAGCACTGCTTTAATTTTAGTGCAATTTTTCTCCAAATTGTCTCGCATTCAGATCTTCCCCATACAACTTGTCTGCAGAGTTTGAAAAAGACCAAACATCTTCTACAGTCTCCGCTTCCCTTTCTGGGGCAATCTGCCTCATGAAATCAGGTGTAGATCGTCGGAGCAATCCAAAAATTATGTGTGCTTTATAACCGGACCGTGAATTCCGTAAGCTATACTTTGACTCTATGCAGCAGTCGCATGCGTAGCCACTAGAGGGTAGGCGTTTGGCTGTTGCGTTGGATGTGACGTGTCGTCTTTCCCAGCTTCCTCTGGGCTTCCGGTCTCCCTACGGCCATGGTTGTTTTTATACTGGCGAACTTCTGAGACGTCAGTTCACGGGCAAAATGGAATAATTTCCGCATACGAAAAGGAAATATCTATAAGCTATTTTAATTGTTTAATTATTTATCTTTTCCATAAACCTAAAACTATCGAGTAAAGACATTCATGTAAAGGTCACTGTGCTTTTGACGCGAAGGTAGCTTGCAAAATAAGAATGCAGTTCTCCCCCACCAACGGAGATTTTACCTTCGTTTCTTCGACCGACGCCGAAGGTACAGTGGGCCATGACTGTCATGTTCTAGTCAGATTGTATCCATTTTTTTTATTTTTATTTTTTTACCGTATTTACGTAGTATGTATATGCATATAGTCACCAGCAGGAATGTTGACAGCAGTTTGTGTATGGCAAACCATGTGTGGCTATTGACAGGCTCTTACAGGTATACTACGTCAATTATTACAGACGTGCTAATCGGGGAATTAAGTGCTAACATTATTGAGAACTGTTGTTTGAAAAAGAAATGTATGGTGACATGAGTAGTCTGGTAAACTTGAAATGGTAGTTGTGATGAAATACATGTTGATCGAGTGGGATTAAAGGGGAAAATTTCGAAGGAATGATCTCCAGGGCTGATGAGTTTTGGAGCGATTGAGGCAAGCATGGCCTACCGCATAAATTTCCATCCCTTTGGCTCGTAGAGCTCAGCGGTTCAATTGACGCCCCTGATGTCAAAGTGAATATGGGTGGCAGCGAGGCTACAAAGGATACCTATGCCAGCACTTTTCTCAGGCAGCGGGGCTATGGCTGGCTGCTGGAAGTGGAGGAAGACGACCCCGAAGATAACAAACCCCTCCTGTAAATAATTATTTCTCAATTGAAAAATATAATTGCGAATAAACATTATATACATCGTACTAGATACACAATTCACATTATTGCCATGACTACCATTAGTATCTGTAATGTCTGGCAAACTTTATATGTTCCTGAAAAGTAACAATGATACCTTTTTGTTTTGATATGGTCATGTCTCACCATGGAATATGTGAGTAGGGAGGAGCTGGACATCGACCTAAAGGACATCTACTACAAGATCCGCTGTGTGCTGATGCCCATGCCGTCGCTAGGCTTCAACCGACAGGTGGTCCGGGACAACCCTGACTTCTGGGGACCACTGGCTGTAGTGCTTCTCTTCTCCATGATCTCCATCTATGGGCAGTTCAGGGTGAGGTGCAATAAACATCCTGACATTCATATATTACAGCCAAGATTTTGCTCTTCTAGATGGGTGACTTCTATTGACTTAAGTTTGCTGCTATTTAATGATGTGAAGTGCATTTATTTTAATATGTCATTCTTTGTAATTCTTTCTTGAAATCTGAATTTAATATTTATGTAAAACACTTGTATTCCAGACAATTGATCCAAACACATAGTTAAGTATCACTAAGATGATTACAATTATCTTGTCTCGGGCAGCCTTGTTATGTACTTCAAGATGACTCCATACGTCTTAAGGCTGGTTCATACTTCGCGCATGTACATGTGGATGTGTCTGTGTAGACTTTTATGACGTGAAGTGTGTGGCTTGACTGGAGAAGTATGAATGTTTCTGTGTCTGTCTATGCAGTGCGGATGCATGAGTGTCACGCGTGTGCAGAGAAGTACAACCCCAATTCCAATGAAGTTGGGAAGTTGTGCAAATTGTAAATAAAAACACAATGCAATGATATAGAAATCTTATAAACTGATATTTTATTCACAACAGAACATGTAAAACATGTAAAGTGAGACATTTTGCTATTTAGTGAAAAATATTGGCTCGTTTTGAGTTTCATGACAGCAACACCTCTCAAAAAAGTTGGGACGGGGGCAATAGGAGGCTGGAAAAGTTAATGGTACAAAAACCCAACAGCTGGAGGAACAATTTGCAAATAATTAGGTCAATTGGCAACAGGTCAGTAACATGACTGGGTATAAAAAGAGCATCTTAGAGTTGCAGTGTCTTTCAGAAGTAAAGATGGACAAAGGATCACCAATCCCCCTAATACTGCATCGACAAATAGTGGAGCAATTTCAGGAAAAAAGTTCCTTGGTGTAAAATTGCAAAGAGGTTGAAAATATCATCATCTACAGTACATAATCAAAAGATTCTGAGAATCTGGAGAAATCTCTGTGTGTAAGGGACAAGTATTCTGGATGCCCATGATCTTCAGACCCTTAGGCAACACTGCCTCACAAATAGGCATGATTCTGCAATGGAAATCACTAAATGGGCTCAGGAATATTTCCAGAAAACGTTATCAGTGAACACAATTTGCCGTGTCATCCAAAGATGCCAGTTAAAACTCTTTCATTCAAAGAGGAAGCTATATTTCAACATGATCCAGAAGCCAAAGCTAATTTAAAATGGACTGTGGCTAAGTGGAAAAACTGTTCTGTGGTGAGACGAATCTAAATTTGAAATTCTTTTTGGAAACCAGGGATGCCGTATCATCCAGACTAAAGAGGAGAATGAACACCCAGCGTGTTATCGCCGCTTAGTTCAAAAGCCAGCATCTCTGATGTATGGGGGTGCATTAGTACATATGGCATGGGCAGCTTGCATATCTGGGAAGGCACCATCAATGCTGAAAGATATCCAGGTTCTAGAGAAACATACGACATCCAAACGACATCTCTTTAAGGGAAGACCTTCCATTTTCCAACATGACAATGCCAAACCACACACTGCATCAATTACAACATAATGGATTCGTGGAAGAAGGGTCCGGGTACTGAACTAGCCTGCCAGTGGTCTAGATCTTTCAGTCATTGAGAACATTTGGCGCATCATAAAACGAAAATTACGACACAAAAGACCTAGGACAGTTGAGCAAATAGAATCCTGTATCTGACAAGAATGGGACAACATTCCTCTCCCAAAACTTGAGCAACTGATCTCCTCAGTCCCCAGACATTTACAGACTTTTACTACAGACATTTACTACAGAAGAGGTGATGCCACCCAGTGATAAACCATGGCCTTGTCCCAACTTTTTTGAGACGTGTTGCTGCCATGACATTCAAAATTACCTTATCTTTTTCCTTAAAATGATACATTTTCTCAGATTAAACATTTGATGTGTTTTCTATATTTTGTCATGAATAAAATATGGGTTTATGAGATTTCCATATAATTGCATTCTGTTTTTATTTACAATTTGCACAACATCCCAACTTAATTGGAATTGGGGTTGTATGAAACAGTAAGCACAACTTCTTATCTTGGTATTTAAAGGCCAATTCCACATAACCCTTTTGTTATTTCAAAGGTCGTGTCTTGGATTATTACTATTTGGATATTTGGATCTTTGACAATCTTTCTTCTGGCACGTGTTCTGGGTGGTGAGGTAAGTTTCAGTAGTGTGTCTCATGTTCATACTATACATGTCATTTTAGATTAAACAGAAACAGATTACAGTGTGTGTTGAACACTAGCCACTGGAAGTGGAATACAGTATTAAATGTTTTGTACTGTTTTCTTGGCAGGTGTCATATGGGCAGGTTTTGGGAGTAATCGGGTATTCTTTACTCCCACTCATCGTCATCGCTCCTTTATTGCTGGTTATTGGGAATTTTGACATTGTTTCTACAGTAATAAAGGTGAGTATGTTTCCATTTAGTCTGAGGAAATGAAAGTACTCCACAGCAGTGTTCAGGCAGAGGTGTCAGAAGATACTTGTAGTTAACAACACTGCTAATGAGTTAAATTAGCTGCAGAAGAATCTTTGCCTTTTTATGTCAGATTAGTCAGCAGTGTCACCGTTCGCAGTGGCAGGGGATAATCCATCTATGTATCTTACAAATGCTATCCTGCTTAGGGTATTTTTTACTGGGGAGGGTAAGGGAGTGGAGTGGAACCTCAGGCATCACAAAGAGGGATAAACCCTGGATAGGATGCACAGATGATAATTTTATGTTTCATTTTCATTCCCAGCTTTTTGGCGTATTTTGGGCTGCATACAGCGCTGCATCACTGCTTGTGGGCGATGAGTTCAAAACAAAGAAACCTCTCCTCATATACCCAATATTCCTCTTGTACATCTACTTCCTGTCTCTCTATACCGGAGTCTGATTGAACAGGCTTTGGACTTTTTCAAATGGACATTGGAATGGTGGCTTGTAGAGTCAGGCAAGAGGATGAAACTCCTACCTGCAAAATAAGAAAATGACAAACCTGGATCTTTTTTTTTTTTTTACACCTGTTTTGAAAAAAGACAGTCAATAAGTCTCTAAGTGTCTGTAAAGCCAGTGTGTTTAACTGTAGCCATGACTCTTATATTCAAAGAAAAACACTGATTTATTTAATTGGTTTCTTTTTAGGCCCTTTCTGCTGATTGTAATATATCTACAGTTTTTGGTTAACACCAGGAGCAATAGTGCAATATTATGTTAACATTGTTTGTTTCTTTACCTGTAAGTCTTACAAAGGACAGTAGTTTTAAAAATCTTTTGTTCTCAGAAGGTGTTGGTGCCAATTGTATTTTTTAAACAAATTCTTGATTTGGGAAGCACCACAGCTAAAATTTTGTTTCGGTTTTTATCAGAAAGGGACTGGAGTAGAAACAACTGTTTCAGAGATATGGATGTCAGTTAAATTTTTTATGCATCTCCATGCTATATTTCACGTTAGTCCATTAAAAACGAAACCATGCCGGCTAAAGTACAGAGCCTTCCTCTCTTTTTTATGTTTGTTGTAGATTTACCGTACGTTTTTGCACCGAACAGAACATGAGTAGAAGGACGTAGGTCAGAACTTTTTAAGAGGGTGGTGTTATGTATCATGTTTTATGAAAGTAGTGGCACTATCAATAAAATACACCTTTAAATACATAATTTTAATTTATATAAACATTCTTCATAATTTTGTATATCCATTCATCTATTAATCAGTGATCCTAGTTAAGGTTAGTTAGGTCTCGGGCTAATTCTGTATATACAACCTAATGATCATTACAATAAATGTCCACGAATGTCAAAATCATTTCGCCTATCAGACTACATGAATAATAAAAATCATTTATTAAACGTGGAATACGAATATACGTTTTACAATTATTTTAACAAGTCTGCTACCTTCTTTCAAAACGAATGAGACGAAAAACAGTCCTTTGCGGTACTTAGCGTTGGCCTTCTGCGCTATTCAGCGTTGACTTTTAAGTTGAACTACATAATTTCGTTTTACTATAAACACTACACATGTGTAAAATGAATAAATATTGACATATGTGTAATCTTTATATACAAAAAATATGTCGTATGTACATGCACACACACGTCGGGTGAACTACCGGGAACAGCTGTGAGACACTTTCTTTTGTCAACACAGTAAGAATGGCGTCGCCAGTCACTGAATACTGACGCGAACTGTACAGCGCCACTTGCGGCATGGAGGGGGGATTTGCCGTGCTGCGCAAATTCCGTAAAACCAACGTTCCCGTCCCGGAGAGTGGCGTCCTACGCTTCCCCAGTGCCGATGATGAATAGCAACTAGCGCGGCATCAGGAGGAGGAGCAGCGGCCGCAGACGGAGAGCGAGCAGTTGTGCTACAGCGGTAGTTCGGGATTCGGCTTTCTGTCTTTTTTGACCACACAGTTGAGAGAGAAATTACAGATCCGTAAGGAGAGAGGGGGAGAAAGAGAGAGCGGGGAAGGGGGGAAGAAAATACAGGAAGATGGCGGCCGCGGCCTCGCCGGGCTCCTGCTCGTCTGCCTCCTCGGACTGGGTCGTGCTGAGGGACGGCTGCTTGCGCTGCGACGAGGAGGGCCTGCGTAGCCTGTCCTACCACCCGGCACTTAACGCCATCCTAGCCGTCACAAGCCGTGGCGGCATCAAAGTCATCGACGGCACGTCAGGGGCCGTCCTCCAAGCGTCGGCCTTACACGGTGAGCGAATGGACGGCCAGTCGGGGATGGGGGTAAACACTGTGGAAGCCGCTCAGGCCTGTCGTTGGATGGGGGGCCAGGGGGTTGTATCCTAAACAGAATGTGAGGTTAGAGACCAGTGGTCTGAACAAACTAGGTGCTTAAGCGCGTTAGAACATCTGTGAAGCCACCTTCGTCATGATAACAGCGGTGACGGTTAGCCGCCTGTCAGGCCAGCCTGTTAGCATTTAGCCCAGAGAGCCGACCCGGGCACCGGCTGCTCATGATGTCTGGAGCTTCCTAGCGTTCCGGGGAAGGGGGGGGGTTCTCGATTTTTAGATTGAAAAGCTTGGATTTTTGCGCTTATCTGGACGTGTCACGTGGAGGCCTGCCGGCCAGAACCTGGGCCATGGGTAGACAGTTCGGCGGTAACTATTTCACCGCATCTGAATCTGCGACTCCAAGGTTTCATGGGAAAAAAAAACGGGCTCCGTCTTTATCTTAAGTAGCTGAAGGTGTCAGTGTGTGGGTATCCGGCATTGCTGGCTTTTTTTCCCGTCATTGCGGCTTCACCCCATAAACTGCAGCACCCCATGAATGCCACCGATTCGTGATGCATGTTTTATCGATGTCTCGTTAGACGTTTCCCTATCTCAGTTTACCTCAAATGACAGCTTCTCGTTTTTTGTCGTTTTGTGTGCTTCTCGTGGTGTCTAAGTGGCACCAATACATGACGAGGATCGGATTATTTTAAATATCATAACTTCAGATCGTTGTAGCATAAGCCGGAAACAGAACGTTTTCATTTCTGCCAGCTAGCCAGATGGGCTTCGAGTAATGCCTTTCATTAAATTAACAATTAATTCATTAAACCCGCCCACTTGGTAGGGCCACAGTGTTTGCGCTGATCGATGCCGTATATCTGCAGTTCGATTAATGGGATGGTTACGTTCTGGAGCAGCAAGGTGACATTTTGACAGCCTTTGATATGTGCGTGGCTGCTTCTCATTGCTACACTTTTCTATCGAGTTGTTCAGTACGTTTAAATTTATTTATAGTCGTCTATGTGGCACGCATAAAATATTAATATGATTAGTACAGTATTTACGGTTATTCAGCATTTTCCTCAGCAGTTCTTGGAGTGAAAGCTGTGATGAAATGCTTTAGACTCTGGATGTGGCTCATCTAATCTGAAGGTTGCACTTTGACCTTAGACTTAGCAGCCTGGGTGAATTTGTCAGGAGTGGTCCTCTGTGGGAAAGAGTGCCAGGGACCTGCCACACTCTTTGAAGGACATCAAAACACATGTTTGTTAAGCATGAGAGTGTTTGTTGACACTGTTATTTTGCAGAGCGGGCAAGGTGTGAGACAACAGCTAGGTGCCGAGAATCTGCTCCTGGACTGACTTTCAGCTGATGTCTGGAGGAGGTGTTTTTTTTTAAGAGCTTAGTGTACCAACTGCCAGTCTGCGATGCTTCTCTCTGACTGACAAGAAGAGCTCCCTAGTCTGGGTTTGGCATTGCTGGCATGTCCTCTGTTGTCATGAAGGCATGTGGACCCCCCACACTGATAATTGACATTGCCAACAAGTGCAAATCTGTAATCTTGATACAGTAAAAATGCATTTGGTAGTTAGTTGCTATTTGAGGATGAATTGTACAGTGCTCATTGTCACTATTATCAGTGTTGCCCCCAGTCTGCTTCATTCCATGTTCAGTTGTCTTTTGCTTTCACCTCCCATGTTCCTTTGTCCACTGCAGAATTAGTTTCATTTTCAACCTTAGCGATGCAGAACAGTAGATGCTGTGAAATGTTTCATTCTGATTGTGTCAAAGCAAGTCTTGTGTACATTATATACAAACCAGCCAATTTGTTAGCCTTCCTTACCCTCCCTATTATGAGTCCCTCTTCCCGACTGCTTGTGATGGGATTAATGTGCGAATGAGAGGCTTGAGCCATTGCCCTTACCATGACACTTGCGCTGGCTACTCTGAAGCAGCTGCCATGTTTTGTGTGAGACAAGTGAAACCCCCCAAGTTATTTGTAGGAAGCTAAATGTCCACCTCAATGCTAAGGTTGCCTGAAGGCTTTTGGGACAAACTAATTATGTTGGGATGATGATGTTAAATATTCAGATAGTGGAGAGTCACTGTGCAATAGAATGTTTGTTTTTGTGTGCACTGGATGGTGAATGATGTCTGGCAGTGGCATCTGGTGTTGGACGTGGTATACAAGAGCTGTGCTTGGGGTGCAGCATGGCAAACTGACTTGGATTGGTGTATTTTCTCTGTGTTGTGGAAGGAGGGACTGTTGTCGATACTACCATGGAATTGGCTGAAGGAGCTGAAGAGTCCTGTTCTGGGATGACCTGTTCAGGTATTTCTGTATGCTCTGCTTGTGACTGTGTAGAAGGACACGGAGTGAAAAGTGCTTATGGCTACCGTCCAGCTCCACCTGAAATCAAAGGAGGCTGCAGTGAAAGGTTGGCCTCTAGTCAGCATGTTGGAGATTCTGCTTTGTCACAGATGCACAGAGAAACACAGCTGGAGCGCCAAAGAAGCGTGCTGATTTTGGTTTTGCTCATGCCCTCCTCATTACTTTTTTATTCATGGCCGATTCAACAAAGGGAGTGACATCATGTGCACGATGCTTAAGCCTCCTGCTCATGCAGCAGAGTCCAAGTTGTGATCCATCTGAGTGTGATGAGCATTGGAGCTGATTGGCGAGAGGTGTGTGAACCTGGGGCATATGCGCTGATGCTGTTCTGTCTGGGTCTTCAACCTATGAACTCCTGCCAACATATCATAAATATTGCGAGGATACTTTGGCATCCAAATATCTCATCTGTACCATGGAAAATGGGTAATCTTACTGGGCTGGGAGCTGGGTATTCCTGTGTTGAGAGAAGTACTCTAAACTCTAAGTTCCCTCTCCCTTTTGTGCATAATCCATTTTGCAAGTGTGAACATGTCTATACTGTGACAGGAAACCCAAAAAGTGTCTATGTACTCATGGCTTCTATATTTGAGATGAAGGTGAAGAATGAGGCTTGTATGCATGGCCAGCTTGTATGTCTGCAGCACTGCAGAGCATCCTTAACCTGAACTTTCAGTAGCTATCGGCCAGGGCTGGGTGCAGAGGGCGTCTCGATCACCTTCCTACATGCCGGCTTGGCCCCCTGTGTGCTGCCTGATTACCTTACATCCCTTTTTATTGAGAGAAATTTCACCAGGTGGGCAGTGAGACATCATCAATAGAGAAAGTGAAACTGGACCGGGGCCTATTTACTGCAGTGATGTCAGTGTATGGCCCATCCTGAGATGGGGAATAAGCCGGTACAGAGCCAGGCAGCACATACAGGTGTGCGCTGTCTCCTCCCAGTTCTCTCTGCTGCTGCTGCCTGTCATTCTCCTTTCCTTTTGCATGCAGTTTGAACATTCCGCCACCTACTATGTCTGCTGCTGCTTTTTGACTATCCTGCAGTGTTTGCTGTTATTGTATTATTGTATTAGTGATTGCTTATCAGCAGTGAAAAGTATTTTACCTGAAATTTCCATTGGGGAATTTCATGGGGGGGTTTTGAAACATTTCTGTCTGTATTCAGTGTTTTCCGTTCATTTTCTACCTGCATATATAGTCAGGGGGGCTGGAGACTGTGCCATGCAGCAGGGTTACAAGGCTGGGGTACGTTATGGACAGGATGCCAGTCCATCACAGGGCGCGTACATGCATACGCAAACACACAGTCTGACACTATGGATCATTTGGAGAAGCAAGTTAACTCAATGTCTTTAGACTGTAGAGTGTAAACTGGAGGTACTGAAGAAAACCCTCAAAACATGGGAGAAATATGCAAACAGACAAGGAGGTAGGATTCGAACCACCAACCTTCTAGGTGTGAGGGAACAGCTCTACCCACTGAGCCACTGTACCCTTTGTTGTTAAATGTCAATACATAAGGCATTGTTATGCAACCATATTCATACCAAAGATAAAATTAGTACTGGGAGGATATAATCACTCTGCGTTTTTCCTGGTGTGACGTAAAAGTGCATTTAATCTTAGAGTAAGGAACTGTGCTAGTTTTGCATGGGGTTTTACTGCATTAGGGGGGTTGCCTCATGACCGCTGTGTATTCCTCCTGGCAGTCACCCTGACGACTCCCCACTCGTGTATTGCAGAGAAGCCAACAGGCCGCGTGAAGTGTCAGTACTTCCCAGCAGTGGACAAAGTACTGTTTGTGGATGACTACGCAGTGGGCTGCCGGAAGGATCTAAACGGCATCCTACTGCTGGACACGGCCCTGCAGGCTCCCGTCACCAAGCCGGAGGATGTAATCCAGCTCGAGCTGCCTGTCACCGAGGTGGGACATGCCTCCGGCAAGCTGCTGCACCTCAGTGTTATGCTGTGTGCTCTGTGCGTCTGCTCTGTGCGTCTGCTCTGTGCGTCTGCTCTGTGCGTCTGCTCTGTGCGTCTGCTCTGTGCGTCTGCTCTGTGTTATTGCTTCCCAGCTGTGTACTGCAACTGTGTTTGTTGAATCTCTTTTGATTATTGTAGCTAAACCTTGATTAGTATACTGTGTTGATCTGTCCTTTTACACTGTCTTTGCTAATTAATCAGACGAAGAGAGTTCCTAGAACTATGATCCATCGATTGCTCGTAAGCTGTCTGTTAGCATGATTGTCCTGAGTGGGATGCCTTTCACCCGTTAGCATCCTCGTGTGGTTCAGCTGCAGCTCACACTGTCCCGTTTCTCTGATCCATCCACGGGGCTGGGAACCCAAATTTTCTGCTGTTTTTCCAGCCCCACGTGGAAGTAAGAGATGAGAGGTTAATTCAAGATTCAAGATTCAAAGAACTTTATTAATCCCAAAGGGAAATTGCTTTGTCTTGGTTATACAGTTGCTCTGATTAATTTACTTAATGCCAGATGAGGTGGAGCGGCATGTAGATGCCCAGTGAAAAGCTCTGTGTGTGCTGATGTACAGAGGGATGCCTGATTAAGCCTGTTGACTGGCTTCCGCTTGTGGCAGAGAGGCTTGACGCAGCTCCTGTGTGCAGAAACAGCTGAGTGTGCTACCCCATGTCTTTGGCCCACTTTGATGTCACAGACTGCCTATTTTTCCTGCCTAGCTCTACTCCTCTTCTTGGCTTCTGGGGAGGCTGTTTCAGCAGCAGGGTCTCCACATCATGCTGTTTTTGGCCTGTGGAGCTTATTCTCCATACGCTTAATTTTGTGGCTGACCATCCTGATAGGTGTTATCTTAACCTGGTGAAGATCAAACAAAAACTAAAGAATGAAATTTAAAGGTGATAAAACTACTGCCAACCCACTGCGGGGAATAAAGAGTGACGCGTTGTCTGTGTGCTGTGGGGAGTCGCCACTCAGTTTCTGCATCTGTGTCTCCCTACTAGGCCCAGCAGCTCCTCTCAGCCTGCCTGGAGAAGGTGGACGTGTCCAGCATGGAGGGATATGACCTATTCATCACGCAGCTGAAAGACGGGCTAAAAAATACCTCACATGAGACAGCAGCCAATCACAAAGTGGCCAAGGTGAGCGGTCTCCCGGTTACATCAGCCTGGTTTTAACAGTGATGTGTGGATTGTGCCTTGCTGGCAAGTGTGGGTTGTAGTGCATTATTAATCTAACTGGGCTGCCACAAATCACCTTGAATGAATGAGCTGGGGCTGTCGTGACTTCTGACCACACCTTCCAGATCAGTGTCAGCTTCTGTCTTCAGTCAATGTTGGGTTCTCCTTTAGTGGATTGTGCTGATGGGCAGCATGGCAGAAGCAAAGAGAGGCTTGGCATGTGGTGGACAATTGGGGGGCCAGTCAGCCCCCAAAACACCAAGTCACACGTGATTAATGTCAAGCTGTAACAAGAATACTGAATGCTTCCTTAGCACATACTGTTACAGCACTCTGCGTAACCTATGATTTTGTAATACTGATTCTATTAATTTGTGTTTCCTGGCAAATAAACTTGAAAACCAGAGGCTTCCTTTAGATGTTTTTCTTCAGGAAGTAAATTGCTTTGCGTGTAGCTGTGGTATGTTAATGAGCCTGCTACATCCACGCATGTCTCAGTGTTTATCTGGTTGTTCATCGGCATTTCGGTCTGATACATGACCTGGGATATATTCAGATTTGTGGCTCACAGCAGAAAGCTGGCTCTCTCTGCTAAGGGTGTGTGATTTGATTTGTGGCTGTGCGATATGACGATATGTATCGGATGACGTGATAAATATGTCTATTGTTTCTTATTATGCTCTTTCATTTACTTCGTGGTGTCCCAAGATACACTGTTTACGGCAACAATTTTTCATCATTTGAATGACAGTTTACAAGGTTACATACGTCATGGGATGTGGCACTTGTATTGAAGTTTTTATTGGACTTTATTATTTGTAACCCACAGAAGACAATCCACAAATATGTACCATGATCCACAAATATTTAACTCTCCACAAATATGTATTTTTAAATTTGTGTTGTGTAAAATCATATTGGGAGTGATTTGTACACGTGAAACATGTTTTGCACGTTTGTGGATCACTTCCTGTCTTTTTGTGGACCATGTTACATTTGTGACTTCCCTGCTATTTATTTTTGGATTTTTATCCAGTTTGTACTGCTATGGAGGCCTTAGGAGATCTGGGTGGGAATTTTTTTTTTTTTTTTTTTTTTTTAATAGTTTTATGTATACTCACAATAGTTTTGTGTTCCCAATATAGACTTGCCGCAACGTGATGACATGGGTAACCCTAAATAATACAGATGTGTCATGTAAATTGTGCTTTAAGCATTATACTATGGGGGACAATGTACACCATGTTACTTTTTTTATGCTTATTTATTAATAATTTCACGGTGTCTATTCACCGCTAGTGACTTTAAGCAAGACAGCTGGGCTGTTGAATGTGAAGAGTACCCATAAAAACAAATACAATACTTGGAAGTAGAGCTGGGGCAATATCATATCGATATTATATCGCGCATGTGCAATAATCACCAGGGCTTCAGGTGACAGACAAAGCATTTGGCCGGACACCAGCTTTTTGGTGTTATATGGACGTTTATTTAACCCATAATTTGGTAAGTAGATTAATAGTATGTCTTAGATATTAATGAGATGCATTTTGTTATACCCAAAAGTTAGTAATCTGTATAAACTTTATTAAATTCGATTAATGGAGCACACCACATAATACTGTTTTGGTATACTATGGTTTGGTATACCTCAGTGCAATATGCACTGAAGTTGCGGTGAAGAAGAGCAGCCACAACATCTTTTAAAAGAGGAGATCTTGTGGATAAACAAGGTAAAAAGACGTTGGTGGTGTGGCTGTACTTTTGTAGTTTAAAGTCCGACACGTTTATTAAACATTAGGATAAGCCGTATTTATAATGATACTGACTTTTGGGCATCATACAATGCCTCATTAATATTTTAGCCATACTACTAATCTGCTTAACAAATTGTGGGTGTAAATAAATGTTCGTATAGCACCGAAAATCTGATGCCTGGCCAAATCTTTTGGCTGTCATCTGAAGCCCTGGTGATTATTGAACATGCGTGATGCAATATTGGTATGATTATCGCCCAGCCCTACTTGGAAGACCTGAAATATATTACAAAGATTGAAAGATATTACACCCGGAAAACTCCATATGAACTAATTTTACTGCACTGTCACAGTTAAGGATTAAACTCGAACCTGCTTTCTGGAATATTTCGGTATAGATCTGCCTATCCCCACATAATCATCAAATGATAATACCAGGGAGGTATATCCGAAAGTAACTGTGATACTGCAGTTTAGTTAGCTTTATATTCAGTTTTCTGGCTGTAATATCTTTCAACAAAAGCAAGCAACATGCCTTGGTTTTCCATATTTCTTTACGGGTGAATTTTAATTAATATTTCAATGTTTGTGTGTGCACTTGAAGTTCAATAGCCCAGCTCTCGTTTGCAGTCACTGACAGTGAATGGACGTAGTGCCGTTATTAATAAATGTGTATAGAAACACACAAAAATTAAAGTTATATGGTGTGCATTGTCCCCCATAGTTTAATGTTTAAAGCACACTTAACTGGACATGTCCACATCGTTTGGATTTATACTTATTAGCCCATTAATTCTATCTTTTGTACTTTAAATGGACTCAGTACAGTGATTATTAGTAATGCAGAAGTATTGTGAGGTTAAATGGACACAGTACAGTTATTATTAATGGAAAAGCATTGTGAGGGAACGCAAAACTATTGCAGAAAAGAAATATAAAGAAATATTTTCTCTCCCAGACCTCTTAGGGGTGCCGTATGCCATAGCTGATCTGTAGAAAAAAACACAAATGCATCACTATCCACAAGTGTATATATATTTTAATTTGTGTTGTGTAAAGTTATATCCACAAAAATAGAGTGATTTGTACACACAAAAAGGGTTTTGCACATTTGTGTATCACTTCCCATCTGTTTGTGGATCACGTTACTATTTGTGACATCACTCCTTTATATTTGCAGATTTTTGTCCAATTCCTACCGCAGCTGATCGGTAGAAAAAATATGATAGATGAGGTGCAGTCATGATATATATTGTTATCGGGATATGAGATGATTTGTATCGAGAGGAGAATTTGGTCATATCACACAGTCCTGTCTCTACAGTCTCCCTTTACCGAGAGATTGTTAGTATTGTTCTACCAATTGCAGTTGTATGGCTCATACACATATCTAAAGTTTTTGTCTGCCAAATTTGTTTTAAGTTATTGGTTTGGATTTTTTCCTCTCTCCCTTTTGCTCCCTCGTTTCAACATGTAATGCACGACATGCAACACATTCCCTATTTGGCAACGTAGCTGTATGGACGATGTGGAGGAGTTGGTCCCTAAAAAGAACTGAACATCAGTAATATTGGATTTTGTTTGGATTTTCCAAAACCGACACGGGACAAACAGTTATTACAAATTTTGCAAAGGTTTGCACATCGAATGGCAGCATGATGTACCTTTTTTTCACCACCTCAAAAGAAAACACTCCAAAAAAGTATGCTGCTTTACTTTTAGGTTTTATTTTTCTGGTCTGTATTTTTTAAAATAGGGGAATTTGATTGTACTGTTAAGTAACTTAATAATCTTAAAAACTAACATAAAAAAGAATTGTGGTAAGATCATGGATCGTGATCCGGTCTGAAAAAAAAATACAATATATTTTTGCCATATCACCCACCCTCGCTGTCTGCTTTGGTTTAGATTAAGGCATTAGGTGGTCTTCTCATTGCTGTGTCCTTGAGTGTAGGAGAGGCTGGGGAATCTCTGCATCCATTTGGTGCGGTGTGTTCACTGCGATTCTTGGAGTGTTTTTTGCCGCAGGCACGTCCCGTGACGCCCAAGCTGTCACCCGTCCCTCCTGCACCACAAGGAGTATGACAGACATGCTGCTGGACGAGCCTGTCCGGTCTGGCGAGGTGGCCCACGTTCCACCTACCATAGGTGCTGCATTGCTGCATTAACAGCCTGGGCTTAGAGCCATGGTGCTCTCCCTGTAGCAGCGGCCCCACAGGCCTTTGTTCCTCCACCACCACAGCTGCTGTAAAACACACCAGAGTAGCAGCGCTGTCCCCAGGAAGCCTGTGTCACCTGGTAGGAAGTGCCAAGCCACCTCACACTCTGATTTGTACTTCTGGATTGCAGGATCCTGCCAGTTGCTGCTTCAGGCTAGCAAGCTTCTGGCATGTAATGCATCCCCCCCCCCCCCGCCAATGTAGCTTTTACCCCCAACAGCTTTTTCTCAATTCTGTTCCACTTCCCAGATTTATAAATATCAGAATTATCAGTTGTCTTCTTTAGTTTCTACTACAACCTCTATGTCATGGCGTTATTTAACCAGTGATGCCTTCCTGATGTTTTCACTGTTCCACATCCCATAAACGTGTGACCTACAGTTTCTCACAGTCTATTTTTTCAGGGATAACAGCACAATATTATTCGGCTGCTTTTCTGGTTCCGTGTTGGGACCCATCTGGAGCAGATGCCGACTTTAAGCTGGTGGCCAGTGGGGCTAGCTCAACGATTGCGGGGAGTCGTGTGAAATGTCTTTAAAGAGCCCTGATGTAAGGGTCACTTCAGTGAAGCTTGGTCATTTGTCATCACTGGTCTGGAGTGAGGTATGCTGCTTTGCTGTTCAGCATTTAAGAATCTGCTGTCCGGTACAATGGTATGGAATGTAGCAAGCAAGAATGTAGTAAGTCCAGGAAATGGGCTAATCAGGCTATTTGAGTTCAGCTGACCACTTCCTTTTAGTGCTCACCTTGCATTAAGTATGCTGGGTGCTGCTTATATATTTGCAGTGACGCTGAGGCCGCAGGCATTTGACTTCCCAGTGATCACCATCCGTCCATCTTTGTGGATGCGGCCACCCTGCAGGCTCTTCATGGCAGAACAGAAACGACTTCCTGCTCTTTTAGCTTGGTGTCATTTTGCCAGTGTACTTTCCTGTGACTTTGGGGGGGAGGGGGTCCACCTTCTGTTCCTCATAAGGTGTGCAGCACATTGTTATAGGGGGACAGTCTGTACAATGCTAAGTGTTCTCTATCCCCTCCTCCCTTCTCTCTCCACAGTGGGCAACGGTAACTTTCCATCTTCCACACCATGTGCTAAAACTGGTCGCTGGTGCCATCGTGAATGAGCTGAAGAAGATAAACCAGAACGTCGCTGCCTTGTCTGTGGCCTCGTCCATCATGGACAGGCTCTCCTACCTCTTACCGAGCGCACGACCCGAGCTGGGAGTGGGCCCCGGGCGCTCTGTAGATAGGTACGCCAGTGGGGTGGATTCCAAATGGGTGGGTTCCAGGCGGGCCTTGCTGAGGGGGTCAGGTTCCAGGCGGGCCGAGCCGAGGGGGTCGGGTTCCAGGCGGGCCGGGCCGAGGGGGTCGGGTTCCAGGCGGGCCGGGCCGAGGGGGTCGGGTTCCAGGCGGGCCGGGCCGAGGGAGTCGGGTTCCAGGCGGGGTTTGCCGAGGGTGTCGGGTTCCAGGTGGGCCGGGCCGAGGGGGTCGTGTTCCAGGCGGGGTTTGCCGAGGGGGTCGTGTTCCAGGTGGGCCATCTGTACTGAGATGCTGACCTCTGCTGCCTGTTTTCTTTGCAGATCGCTAATGTACAGTGAGGCTAACAGAAGAGAAACGTTTACATCGTGGCCCCATGCTGGCTACAGGTGGGCGCAGCCCGACCCCATGGCCCAGGCGGGGTTTTACCACCAGGTAGGCAGTGTAAGCTCTCCCCGCTACCTCTCTGCCATTCTCTGTGTTACTGGCTTCTTCAGCAGAACTTTACAGTTGCCTTTCAAGTGGAGATCCTCCTCCCACCCCCCGTCCCTCCTGTCTGACCCTCCCCCAGCTGAAAGGCAGTCTTGATACTGCTAGGACCAAAGAGAACGGCTGATTGTAACCATGGAAATGACAGGGATTCTCAGGGCCGGCACGCTGTTGGCATGCCAACCCGCACAGCTGCACGGGGAAGTAGGATGGTGCATTTGTATGGAAGGAAGCTCCCAGGAGTGCTGGGGACTAGGGAGAACTGTCAGGAGGAGGGCGAGGTGACCGAGCACTGTTCACATGGAAACGGTCTGGATTATCCACGACTTGTAATTTGGCGTGGCACCAGCAAACATCACCTCTGATGTGGAAGGAGTGCCTGGCTGGGAGAGCCTGACCAGCAGTCCCTTTGCACACCTTAGCCAGCTTGGCAGCCTCACTACATGGTGGCTTTGTCCCCTACCGGAGTGTGCCCCTCCTCAGAGCCCGGTGATGAGACCTTGCCCCTCCAGAGGGAGTGCTCACAGGGCCTTTTTAAAACCAGCACCTTGAATGTTGCCCTATTTTTCAGCTGCTGTTAGATGTGCTGTTTTTAGTTGATATCTGCCTGTGTTTATACGTGGAGCGCTGTCTGTGTTTCTGTAATAATACAACTTGGTCCTCCTGTCTGTCAGTGTGTAATACAGTTAAATGCATTATTAATGAAGCCTGGTCACGATCCAAGCCCCCACCTGCTTGTGATGTGCCCAGGGAGGGCGGAATCCTATCTCAGCCCCCCTCTGTCCATGTCCCCCCACCCTCATACCAGCCGGCCTCCACTGGTGACGACCGGGCCATGTGCTTCACCTGCAGCGTGTGTCTGGTCTGCTGGGAGCCCACCGACGAGCCCTGGTAAGTATACCGCCCCCCCCCCGCCACCTGTGGGACATTAATCCTGTCGGCTAGTTTAGGTTCACCGGTGAGCTTTGTGGGAGGGACGAGAGCTGGCTTGTTCCAGAGAGGTGGTGCTCTGGCCCCGGGATCTTGCTGTTCCTTCACCTCACTTGCCCTCCCACCCAGGTCGGAACACGAACGACATTCCCCCAACTGCCCATTTGTGAAGGGTGAGCACACGCAGAACGTCCCACTATCCGTCACCCTGGCCACCAGCCCGGCCCAGTTTCCCAGCGTGGACGGCTCCGATAAGATTGCCTGCTATGGCTTTGGCAGTTGTCCGCACTTCCTGGCGGCCGCCACCAAGCGAGGGAAGATCTGCATATGGGACGTGTCCAAGCTCATGAAGGTGGGGGCTACGGGGAGGTGGGACTTTTGAGACATGCCGTGATCAGCATGTCTGATGATACTGGTCATGATCAGTAGGGCACTGTTTTTTTTAAAGTTGCAGAGCTTTGTTTTTGCTTCTTAGGGGATTGTAAAAAGATTCTTCACCATATACAATGAATGTTAATATGTATGTTAAATGTAGTTCATTAGTTGAGACTCCAGGGCCATGTCAGTAGAATGTCAGTACTCTGAGCATCAGTTTTGGACTGACACATGAACACCTTGCTGGTTCAGGTGCACTTGAAGTTTGAGATCAACCCATATGACCCAGCGATCCTACGTCAGCTGATCCTCTCGGGAAGTGAGCTGGGCCTGGGGATGGAGTCCAGGAGACCCACATTAGCCTGGCTGGAGGACTCTTCCAGCTGCTCAGATATCCCGAAACTTGAGGGAGACAGGTAGAGTGAGGGGCATGGTGGAGGGAGAGGTCTGGAGCGGGGCCACATAGTAAGAAGTACGAATTAGCATATAAAGGTTTTTTTATATACCTGTCGCTATGGACGTGATTGGAACACCTGATTTCAGTGATCTGGAGGGGTGTCCCAATACTTCTGGCAATATTGTGTGTGTGTGTGGTCCAGGTATACCTTACCTTGTGGGGACCAAATATCCCCTCAATGTGATGAATACCCCTTTTTTTTTTTTTTACACAAGTTTCCTGGTCCCCATATGGGAAAACTCTATTTTATAGAAATCCGTGACTGCGATCTGAATCTCAGAAGTCAAACCGTAAACGCCGACCTAAGATAACTTGTACGTGCGGGGAAATGTCATGCGGCACGTCTGTCAGTGGAAACAAAGGGTAACGCTTAAGTCTCAGCCTCGCATTCGCTGTGATAAACATATATTTAGACAGTAAAAATACAATTACATAATGACAGACAGTAACAGTAATTATTATATAATAAAATACATTTAAAAATAAAGATTTCTTATTCATTATTTTAATATTAATAATAAACCATTAATACATTTAATTTAATGCTGTCAAATGATTAAAATTTTTAATCAGATTAATCACAGGGTTCCTGTGGATTAATTTTGATTAATCATGATTAAATATCATTCATTTTTAATCTATATTAATCACATTTAATTTTGCATGAGCAAAAACACTCAAGAAAAAAGGGAATATTTATGCACTTAACATGTTTATTGAACATCTTGAACATG